TCACCATTAACCCACAAGCTGTGTCCCTCACCCAGGGGATGGTACCCTTGTTCCATAAAGTTAATCTGATCCTTTAGTGTAGTTGTACTGGACTGAATTTCTAAACTGGGAGATGGGCGATTCTATCGTGAGCCGGCAAATTACCCCATCCAAGCCGAGAAGTGCAACAACTCCTTTAGACTGCGTTCATACTTTGCGCCAGCGTCCAGTGGCGTCCACCAGCGTTTCGAGGGACTAGGGATGCATAAGTATCGATGCAGGGAATGCCAGCCCCCTTCAACATACGCAGCGTTTACACGGGCTTCATGTACTTGAGCAAAACTGCCCGCGAAAACGCTGGTGGACGCTGGCGTCCGCTGGATCCATATCTATACTTTCCTAGTTGCTGGCGCTGGCATGGGCTCGAAGCGCTGGTGGTCGCAGGTGGATGGTGCGCAGAGTGTGAACGCAGCCTTACAGGTTCCTCATTCGTATTAGAAAAAGCCCTAATGATTTCGGCGAGCAGAAACCTAATATGGCAGGATGACGTGGGGGAGGGGGTGGTCTTGCTAGGCTCCCTGATTTCTGCCTCTTGTCGCCCTGTTGGAGCAGCGTCATCTAAGGGAGAACGGTCAAAGAGTTTGAGAGCTGTTAAAGTTAGCGGAAGCCTGTGATAAACGCGTGTATTCTTATCATTTCTGTTCATGCTTCGAAAGTTCAGGAATATTCTGATGAAGTGAAGCAGATGTCCGAAAAGTGCTTTGGCTTTCCAAGCACTTTTCGCTCAAGAGCACAAACGCAGAACGAAGTTCCCGTCAGTGATGCCAACAGTGAGTATGAGATCAGGTCTTGTGTGCAGTGCTAACGCGTGTCGTGATATCTAACGTCAAATTATCAGCGAGTGCCTGCCATAACGTTTCAGAAATCGAAGAAATTGTCAGACGATGACGATACTCTTGATGAAATGACGTTAGATATCGTTCAAGACATGCAGGTAGCAAAAAGTACTTGCTGTACTATTTGTACCAGTAAAAATGTACAAATATTAGGGTGAACTTGATGATGCTGATGTAACACCCGACGAGGAACCAGAAGATGAACAAGAGCCATATGAAACTGAGGAAGAGGTTTGTGGTTTAGATATCAGAAGCTAACTGGGTGAAAGTGCTTCTCGTATTCGTTGAGTTTATCCCTGGAAATCGAATTTTGCAAAAAATGTGGCAGTCATCGTGAGGGTGCATTCATACTTTGCGGCAGCGTCCACCAGCGTTTTGAGTGTTCGCCAGCGCGGCCGACTAGGAATGTATAACATCGATCTAGCGTACGCCCTTCCATCAGTAGAGAGTATGGAGAGTAAGAGGGTAGCAGACAGCTGGATTAGGCGTCGTGAAATTGCGGCGTGTGCAACCGCACCGTACAACTACACTACACCTTACATTAAATTGCATAATTCTGTGCTTTAGCAGTTGTACGGTGCGGTCACACACCGCAATTTCACAACGCCTAATCCAGCTGTCTGCTACCCTCCTACTTCCCCATGCACTCTACTCCTGGATGCTAGCGGATGCTGATCTGATCTAGATCTGTACCCACACTTTCCTAGTCGCTGGCGCTGGCGGACCCTCGAAACGCTGGTGGACGCCGATGCAAAATATGAAAGCAGCCTGAAAGTTGTGGTAGTGCTGTTTTTTTCAGCAGCATTTCCACCCACTGAAGTCTTCCTTTCTCTGACTGTCCCGTTTCTTGTCAGTGGGAAACTCGAAGTCTGATGTTTCTTCATTGTCGCAGTTTTTTAGGAACGTGATCCGACGGTTCCGCAAAAATCACGAATTCGTAAACGTCAGAGTCGTTTCCCGAGATTTGGTTTACGACGGCCGAAGTCGAAAAGCAAACGAACGGAGATGGCGAGATTGCGTGAAATCAGCATGCTTCTCGGAGGTGCACAGTACTTCAAGAAAAAGCTTTCTGAAGCTGCTCACTGTGAGGTTCGTGATTGCTCCAGCCATATCCGTACACAATTTTTGTAAATATCTTTCCATATCAGTCCTTAGATATTAGAAAAGGTTCGTATTTCAGAAATGTGGAAAGATCACAAATTCCCGAATGAGTGAACATGCATATACGCATATGGAAGAACAACTGTTCCTATGTCCTCACTGCGAACTGGTTCGTTAGGTTTTAACAGTTTTTAAAACTCTGAATTTATGAATCCATTTTTGAAGTCGAGGCGGAGGTGGTGTAACTAGGGCAGGTCGTACGTTGGGATCCCCAGCGAGCAGGGTCGCACTTGGTCGGTTGAGGGAGGGAGGCCTCTATTCGGTCGGTGGAGGGGGGGGGGAGGAGTCGGTAGATGGTTTTTGCACGCCAAATGGTAGCTGGCTTTCTTAGCCTTAGGTCTCTATGACCGAAGAGGGATGCCCTTGAAAATGTTTCTTTTTCGCATTCATTTCCTCGCTGCTCTGCCTCATATCCCAAATTTTCCGTAGCAAGTTTCATGGAATTCAAAATTTAATGGTCCTCGTCTTCCCTGCTTACAATTTTTGTTTTTAATGGATTGTTTGGTATAATCTATGGTTTAAGCCTCTACGAAAATCTTTTCTTTCAGGGTCATCAATCTCGTGAAATTGTCATGCGACACATTCGTGAACTGCACGATTCTGAGGATCGACCGGTCGATAATCGATTGAAACATGCGAAAGATATTAAAGCAATGATTCGTGAATGTTATCCTGCGTATTTCGTCGATGCACCTATTCCAACGCAGCAAGATATTGAAAAGTTGTGAGTAGTACGTTCTCAATTTGCGATTCTTATTTAGTTCTAGTTAAGAGACCATTACTCAGCTTAGTGTTGTCCAAGTGCTCAGCCTGTCTGTAATTAAAGGTCATGCATAGGGTCCTTGTAAGGGCATCTGAGTCAAATATTCCAAATTTTATAACTGCTGTCAGTAAATGTCCTGGGGGAAAATTTCGCAGAATATGACCCCCCCCCGTCCTCAGAAGTTCCTTCTTTGACGCAACTTCCTCCCCTCCCCTAGCGCCACATCACATCCTTTTTTGATACTCCTCATCCCCCATCCTATACAAAAGCTCATTCTAACTTCCTCGTTAGCGCCAGAGCTCTCGACACTGTTCGCTTTGGAGGGGAATTTCGCACTTTTGCTCGTCCCTGTTAGTTCATTTTAACTAACACGTCCCGCCTTAGTGAGCATGTAAACCTATGTGAAGCTACGAAATGGCGCGTGTAAGGCACTTCCGTCCAGGAATTTTTCCACTGGTTGGCATGTATTTATATGCTTAGGTGAGTACAATTCGGTGCCCCACCAAGGCGATCTGCTCCAGCTCACTTACTCAAAAGCGGAGTGAAGAGAGCTGTTCAAAAAACCTCCTATTAAGTTTCGGGAGTAAACCCTTCAGATCAAAAACTAAGACTAAAAAAACCACCGTAGCGTAAAACCCAGATGCATGGATAAAAACGAACAGCTGGGGGGGGGGAGGGGAAGGGATCATTCACCAACACTTCTGTATGACTCCCTCTAATCAAAGTTTCGTCCAAATGGAAACCATTTTTGCGGGGCCGGCTATCCTTCTGTGACTCTGGTCGTCTGCGCTCTAAATCCAGGCCTTTTGGGGAAAGGATACAGGTGCACAGCCGAGTGCCATTCGCGAACCAGCACATTTAATTATACGCGCAATTTTCGGGGATACCGTAACCAGCGTCTTTCCCTAATTTTATAGCCTTGTGCGTTGTCCCCCTCCCAACCAAATATGTTGATGCCCCAAGATCGTCCTACTGTATAGTTGGTCTTACTGACGGGAGGTTAAAATGGTCCATAGCTAGCAAACCGCTTTTCGGAAAGTCCCTTGACTGATGAAATGAATAAATTTTGTAAAATTTTACCACAAAACAATTCGAAAGCCTTCTAACCGTTCAATTTTTTTTCAGAAAACAACATATGGGTGATACGGCGTCATCAATCATAGCTGGACTGGATGACGAGCCTAGTGATGGTCATGAAGAGGAAGATGAAGAGGTTGCTGATTACGAGGACGATTCAGCATCTGAAAAGAAACTTGTGCTCGACGATGACGTAGGCCTCGAACTTGAACAGGAAGACGAAGAAGATCCCGGTGAAGAGGAGTATGCCGCTGAGTGAAGGGTTGGCCTTTCGTATGCTACATTTACTCGACGTATCGTTCACTATAGATCGATCGTCAATCGAGTTTTTTTCTAGTCATCGATTTTTCTACTTGATATTAGGTCAGATTTTCATTTCTTACGCGCACAAACCTCAGACACGAGTTTTCATTTTGTTGTTGTATTTCTTTTCATCATGGTTTCTCATTTGTTTGTATATTTCATTTCTAATTTTTTTTGCAATATTATTACTAAGATTATTATTACTATCAGTGTCTTTATTGTATGATCGGTATACACTACTTGGTCCGATATTTTTGGACGCAGTTCGGCTTGGGGGGGCATCAAATGATACTCATCGAAGCTTCTACAGGCCACTTGGCGATTACTTGTAAATTCATGTAACTAAAGTGGCTCACTTGTGCTGTTTGGCAGCTTCAGAAAGAGTTTGCGCATTTCGCCAAAGTAAGACTAACAAGAAGAACTAGTGAGAGGTAAAAATGCTCCCTCAGAGCCGAACAGCGCCGATTTTTGCTTTTTCCATTAATCGCAATTGAGTCACGTGGAGCTTTTTCTTGTTTGATGTTGCATAGTTGTGGACCGAAAGTTGAGATGCTCATGAGACTAAGCCAACCGCCAAGAGGCGTGGCATGACAGAATGTCTGTTGGTCTAGCGAGGTTATAGTCTTGCTTGCTGCGGGCGCTGGGGCGGGGGGGGGAGGGGGTAGCTAGTTCTCCAGCTAGCTTTTCCACCAACTGTGGTCGGCTATCAGCTTCAACAATTGGTTGGTTATGTGTTGGCAGCGCGCCAAACCCACCCCGCTGACACACCAAACCATACGCAGCGAACAGGAGTGTACACGCGTTGCTCCTGCTTACATCTACCTCGAACATCCCGTCAAGGGAGTATATGACAAAAGAATCGTAATCTGCCGCGGTGGCCGGCTCGGCGAGCGACGCCGCTCCGCGAGGGACGAGTTTTCCCGTCTAGTCATTCAAATTTGAATATCAAACGGACGAGAGAGGGTGTTACTGAAGGGCGCCAGCCGTTAGCGAATTCTGAGTGCGGTTCTTCATGCTCTTATATTTCTAGCTTAATGTGGATTGTAGGAAATGGCCAGAATCCGTGAACTGTGTGCAGAAATATGGGAAAAATAAAAGAATTATGCAACACGAGTTCACACGAGTTGCGCTGCTCCAGTCAGGAAACTCCACAGTTTGAATTTCCCGCTCCTCGCGCGTGATGCTCACATTGGAATTTTCCCGCGCTCATCGCCAGGCGGTGCCTCGCGCGCGGTGATGCGGCAAATCACGATTCTCTTGTCCGTCTCCTCGTCAAAGATCCACAATTGGCTTCCCCACTTACACGAGTTTTTTTGTACAAGTTTATGTAATCAGCTATAGCTTGTCTAGTTGCCTTAGGAGAAGTTTTCCTGTTTTTGTTTATATACATATTCGTTTCATTGACCATATAATCATAGCGAATTCTGTTGTTATTTCATAATTGAACCCCGATCCCGGTATTTTGAGTGCCCAAATTTCTGACACCTCATCATCTCATTCTCTCGTTTATAATTTAATATTGAACTTTTTATAAGCAAATCTGTTGAGCTGGTGGGCGTAGCACACTTTTTGAGACGCGCAAAAGCGGTCGCGCGCGGTTGCGCTGCGGAAATGAGTTCTCTCGGTTCTTTGCTAAATCTACTGGCTCACAGGCTGTGTATTAACGTAGTGTTTTTCACCAACTTACAATGTCTCGGGGCGGGATAGTGGGTTAGTTTTGGTGTTGAACTGCCTCACTTAGGAGCATTCTGCACTAATAATCCGCTATATCCATTGTATTGTTTTTGCTGTTCGATACTTATTGATTTTTTACGTGTAATCTCGTTAACTACTGAGCCGTTACTCATATGATGTGTTACTGCATGAGTAAATGAAGTTGCTGGTCTGAATTCGGATTGTACACGAAATGTGAATGTAACTCAAGTATTACCGGCAGAGTACCGTAATCCGGCAATAAAGGTGGCGTGCAATAAACTGTCGCTGCCGCCACGTTGGCGGCCTCTAGGAGAATTGTTTCGAGTTCCGCAAAGCTTGTGGGGTAGGCAATCTTCCGAAAGATTTTGGTGTTGCTTAGCTAGTCAAAGCACGTCAGCACGTTTAGCACGTCAAAGTGCGCTTTCTTCGCCCCATGCACGTATAAGCTCGGTTCGGTACACAGGAGAGGGGCAAAAAAACTTTGGCCGAGTCACATATCAGTAAAGTTTACGCAGCCCAGAGAGAAGACGTGGATACGAGTACCAGGGCGGAAGATACCCAAGATGTTCCTCGATAAGCAGGAGCTGGCTCTCGCCCATCACCTTCATGTACACCAAAATATGAAGTCATCTCCAATCGCAGCCTGACTGGAGAAGGCCTTTGGAATTCATGTCACCTCCAAACAGCTGCGCTTCGTACTGCTATAGGATTGCGTGCCAGCAAAATGAAACAATAACGATTCAGTAGGGCGCAAGTGGCTCACAAAAGAAATTAGACG